CTACAGCTCGGACAGTAGAGCCTTCTCCGATCTGGCACTTCTTGAGAAAGGCACAACCTCTATAACTGTACATGCTACCCTGAGACCAGAAGCAGAGAGCCCCGCCTGAGGGGCTCCCCGATGCCCAAAGTGCCAGATCATCCAAACGGGCTAAGAGGCAGCACTACGGGTGTGGTGGTGCTGCCACTTATGGGATTCAAGTCAGGCTCTTCAGTCATAAATGGCAGAGCCACCCCCTCACAGAACCCAAGTGAGCTCAGTATGAGGATGAAGAGACTAACTCTGGGGTACCAAGGGGTAATATGGCAACTGGAAAGAGCCAGTGATCGACTCCCCCAGAACCTCAGTTCCACTCCCCTCTGGGGTTAGTAAAATGATCTCGCCCTTACCTACCCTCCACCTGCCTCGATGAGGCTTCCAACTGCCCCCAAATTTGCAAGCCTGTTTGAAACTGTGCCACTGCTCTTTCCTGAATGCCCAGAAGCACATGCCACAGGGCTTTTCCTCTATCGGTGGGCCAATCTGTTCAGTAGCCTCTCTGAACAGAACATGCTTAACTTAGCATCAGGTACCTGAGATGCTCTGGTGAGAAGCAGAAACCATTCTAATGCTGAAGGAGAGACATACCGTGGAGGTGCTGCTCATGTGAGGTACTGCGACAAGCTGAATATCAGCTGAAGCAGTAAATCCCATCTCCTAAGGGCCCCTAGTCCTGATTGGTGACAAGTAGCCAGATCACCCTGAGCTTGACAGCCATAGAACCTTAGCACCACCGGCCCATGGGTGAGGCTTGCCCACAGCCAGGAGCAACTTATGTGACTACTAACTCCAACAGGAGCCCCATGGTTCCTCAACCTACAGTAGTTCATGGGTCTGCCCTATAGCAGAATGCATAGATGGGGTAGAAATGAAACCCCAAAAAGGAATATGAGTAGTAGACACCAATCTCCTTCTTGCCCCTCTGAGCTGCCCAAATCTTTCCAAAATGTCACATGCTTGGCTCCGCAACATCAGGTAAACTATAAGCAGAGCAGCCTGTTTGGTTACCATAAGAGAAATGTCAAATTCCCCATATAGAGAACTACCAATAACAGGGTATTTTTCCATTCAGCTGTAGACGCTTTCCCTTGGAGAGCGAGCTCTAAAGCCTGGGTGAGGCTCCCTCAAGCTAAAACTCAAACAGCAGCTCAACACGCAGCAAGATGGACAGTATTTGCAGTGCTAAGAACCGTAGGCTAACCAATTGCATTACTCTAATAGCTAATGTAAAATGGGCAGATTCCCCCTTTAAAGAGGGTGCTCACAGGCTGGCCTGTCTGCCTCAGGTTTTAGGCTATTAAGAGCCTTTCATTACTGTTGATTGTCTAAGAAATGACTTCTGAGGAAATAAACACATGAGAGGCACAGTTGGACAGCTGAAGAATCAAAAATCATGCTCCCTCACAGTTCGTGTGCTCCCACACAGAAAAGAAAGGCAACATGATCAGCAGACTCACATGGAACCAGAAGTGCCCCCTCCCCCCACCTCCCCGCCTAGGGTTTTGCTACTCCCTAGGCCCATTTGGTGTAAAGATAATGCCTTCCATTTTATCCTGTTGTCTCTTGGTAGCTTTCCGGAGTTTTCAGTCTACTAATCTATCATATATTGGCATTCCCTTCCATTGCATTCACAACCACTTGAGTGTTTTCGTGGGACCTCAGTTGGCATACATTTTAAACAAGCTGGTTTCACAGTATTTGATCAGATATGTTCGTTAAAAGCATCCTATGTGGGTTTCAGTTTTTCCCTGGTTTGAGGTGGTAATCTAAATCATAAGGCAACAGGAACATATTCGGTGATAGATGCTTCAATAGCATTTTTGCCTCACCTAAGAGTGTTTCACTAAACGTTGGTGAAAGCACATGACCCTGTTCATATTTTGAGCCTAAATAAGTACTTTTTGGTGTCCAGTGGCATTTTCCCTTCCTCCAAAGATGATTATAGTCACTAAATTCCCGAGGAAAGTGCATGACCAAGTTCATGGTTCAACTATTTCCATATCTCTCTGTTCCTCGCAGTGACACTTATCTTCCCTGACAGCCACTCCCATTGTGCTCTTTCCTTGGCCCAACACAATGGACACATGCAGACACCAGCAGACAGGGAGGACGTTTTCCATCCCACTGCTCCCCAGTGCGGAGGGACTTGGCTGAGGTTACATAAGCCCCTCCTAAGCCCAGCGTTGGGGGGTTAGCAAATTTGGGGTTCGTGACGGAGTCACGGTCTGCAGGCCCTGACTGACCCTGCGCTCACTCACCATCCTGCCTTACCTGGGCAAGGTGGCTTGAAAGAGAGGACCTCTCTCTGAGACCACCCGACTCCCGCCAATCGGGCCGGGTTCAAAGTGTGGCCGGACGTCTGACCTCGCTGTACAGACTACATCGAGGGGTCGCGGGCCCCGGCCTCAGGCTGCAGCTCCCCGCCACCCCCCCACTCACCCCAGGTGCCGCGACGCGCGCTTACCTGCCAGGACCGGGGCCGGGGCCGGGGCCAGGGCCCGGACCGGGGCCGGGACCTGGGCCCGGTGGTCCCGCAGTTGCCCTCGCCGCGCCTGCAGCGGGGAGCTGTCCGCCGGCGGCAGGTGCTGAAGGCGGCTTTCCTGCGCCGGGGCCCGGGCCAGGGCCGGTGCCTCCGGGCGGCAGGGGCCCGTCGCCAGCGCCGCCCTCCAGGCTGGCCTCGTTGCCCATGGCTGGCGGGCGGGCGGGGTCGGGGTCGTGCTGGACCCGGGCCGGCGGCTCCCGGGCTGCTGCTCACACGCTCGGCGCCGCCGCCGCCGCCGCCATCTCCCAGCTCGGCTAGCGCCGCCGCTTGTCGCTGCGCATGCGCATGCGTGGCCCGCGCGGCCCTACCCTGCACACGCCCCCCCGCCTCCCCCGCCCCGGCGCGCGCGCGCGCGCGATTCAGCCAGGCAGTGAAGACGCGTATCCACAAGCCAGCGGCGGGGTCGCCGGGAAACAGCAGCCGCCGCCAGCGCATGCGCCCTTCGAGGACGACGCCGCTAGCGTGTGCTACCTGGAGCCTAGAGGGGGTTGGCGGTGGCGTCCCACTGAACCAGGATGGAGGGGTACCGGCCACAAGAAGGGGCCCTGGGGGCGTCGCGCCGTGCCCTGCCCTGTTGTCAGTGGCGCTTCCTGTCCCGGGAAACTTCGGAGTAGGGGCTGTCGTTTGGGAAAACTCGGTGCCCCAGCCAGCAGGCTTCGTGGGGACAGGCCTCAGAGAGGGGCCACCGAGTGTGGCCTCAAAGAATGTTTAGGAGTTGGAAAGGCAAGTGAACGAGGATGTTCAGAGGCGCAAGGTCATGGAGGGACAGAGACAGAGGATACTTGGCGATGGGGCCAGATTGTGAGGGTCTCGAAGGCCAGCTGGGTAGTGGAGAGTTTATCCAGATAGCCATGGGAACCATCTGGGATTCAAGCTGAGGGCCTGGTCCCATGGGACAGGGGTCTCAGGCAGTGTCTCTGGGAAGGGTGGAGGGTGTGTCAGGGCTGGCCTAAAGCCAAATGGAAGGCTGCCTCTGTAGGCCCTGAGACAGTGACCTTGAGGATGGGAAAGAAGAGTTGATATTTCTCAGAGCCCTGAGTTATGGCTCCCGGAGACTGTCTAGATGAGAGGCTGCAGCTGCCTCTGCATTAACCTGAGAGCTCACCGAATTACTTTTCCGTTATCTCACTTCCACAGACTTCAGTGTTTGCACACTACTCAGGATGCTCTGCCTCATGGCTTCTCATACAAACCTGTACTTTCCTGAGGGTAAATATTTCCTAGAAGATAACAGACTATATTCCAAACTATTCCTGGCTTCATAAATTGTGGCTGTGTAGAAAAACTTGAGTAAACTTGGACCCATTTTACAAACCCATTTAATTCTCCTAATGGTGAGGAATATATCACATGGGATGTCAGCAGTTCTAACTTCACCAGGAATAACCTGAGGATCCCACTAAACACCAATAGCCAGCAGATGGACAGACCTTGGCTGGACCTTCCCCATGCACTCTGAGCTGCTCTTCCTAACAAGCTCTGCTCTTCCCAAGCTCTTGGGATGGAGCTTCCATGAAGCCTGGACTCCCTGACTGCCTGGAACAATGAGAGCCTCTCTGCCTGTGTTATCATGGCCCTCACTGTGTTTCCTCCTGGTTTCATTCATCTTTGTGAGTGTCTGATGACTATGTGTACACATCTAGGCTCCACAACAATCTACATCTCAGCTCTGACACTTCCCAGGTGAGACTTTAGCAACTAACTTGGGCTTGTCAAGCCTCCGTTTCCTAGCCTGTAAATTTCCGATAATGCCAGCCTCTCTAACAGGGATTGTGAGGGTAGAGTGGCTGAGGTAGTTAAAACACAAAGTCAAGTGGCTGGCATACATATGACCAACTTCATTATTAGTTGTCTTACTGGTAGGTGGTCTGGGATTTGAAGATTTTTGTGCCACACCCTTTCTCCTGGGGAAGATCAGGAACACAAGCACTGGGGGCAGGCCAATGACCTGACCTTGGCTCAATCCAGGCTCTTCAGGCTTCAGACACCAGTCAGTGTGGTTTGGGCTACTTGGAAGCAGGGGAGAGAAAGATGTTTGTTTTCTATTTTTGTAGAAGCCAAAGGAGCTATGGCTTTCCACAGATTTAAATCAACATGACCCTGGTTCCAACGGGGGTAATTAGCCCTACCCAGCCAGCGGGCCTGGGGAGTTGCCCTCCTCAGAGTGGATTCGTGGTTGTTAGCAGACCTCCAGGGTCTCTGCTACCTTAGTGACAAATGACACAATACAGTGGACCTAGGAGGACCTGGAAGTGCAGGTTAGTGGTGCCCCTACCTTCCTTTCAAACTCTCAGTTCCACTTCTCTGAAAAGCATACCCAGAAACATGCCTGTTCTGTGCACAGCCACGCCTGGTATCCAGCCCAGGGACTCCTGCTGGCTGTGGGATGGTGCTGGCCTCTAATTGTCTGGATCTCTGATTCAGTCTCCCATTTTTATTCACACTTCAGGGGTTGTTTCCTTCCTCTTGACCTAGAGTAGGGGCTCCTCAACAGCAGGACTTTGTCTGACTTGTCCTATCCCCTAGGCTGGCCTTCAGTGGGGCCTCAGGGGCTAATGGTTGGGCTGGGTTCTCCATATGACCCTGAGCATTTCCCTCAGCTGCACTTCCAAGGGGTTCACCAGCCACCAGGTTTAAAAGCACCCCAGAGGGATCTTTGGCTGTAGCAGTTGCATCACTGCATTTAGGTTGTTGACTTGAGTAACTGGGAGGGTGCTAAGGTTGGGTCCAGACTTTCTCCTGGTGAAGGAGCTGTAGATGAGCTGTCTATGCTCACCTAGGAGAATTCACTAGGCTTGACCTTATGACAAGCGAACAAACAAATCTCTCAGTTTGTGCAAACCACTTGTGTGGTATGTCTGGTACCATTCCTTCCTGGATCCAGCTGCTGTTCAGCCAGGAACACGATGGACCTGGAGACTCTGGGGAAATTTCCCAGCCCCCTAAACCTCACTCGCTGAAGGTATCTTCTTCCCACTTCACTGGGAGATGTGACACCTGGCAGTCATTTTGGAGAAAGGCCGGATGAGAAGGCAATCAGCCCACATGCCGAAACAGATGGATACATGTCCACTTTCTTCTCCAGTCTGTGCTCTCAAACACTTGTAAAAAACTAGAGGGAAAATGGAAGCAGAAAAAAAATCCATCCAGGTAGGAAAAGGCCCAGTCAGAGCCAGCTCACTCCTGGGATTTGTGGAAACACTTAGTCATTGGAAGGCAAATCTTGGGAGAATGAAGAGATGCTGGACCCCAGGAGCTGCACCTGGATGCCGGCTGGGCCATGGGCAAGGCAACAAGCAGATGAGCCCCAGGAAGGTGAGGATGGGCAGAGTGCAGGCTCTGGAGCTTTCCTGCTTCCCCACGCAGTCCAGTTCACCCTGGGCTGCTACTTTCAGTTGACAGGCTCCACAGAGAGGCTCACAATCCAAAGATGAAGATGCTAACAGGGATGAAGAAGAACCGTCAGCTCTGTAGGGCAAGAAGAGGAGGTAGAGAGTATGAAGGTGGAGGAGAATGAGGAAGGCTGACTGGGGACAGTTCTGGACCATGTGATGCCATGGGCTTTGGACTGTTCCAGAGAGGCTGGGAGAGCTGGCTCTATGTATGGAGGCTCCTGGGCTCTGCACTGTTCTATTTCTTGTGCTGCTGCTGCTGCTGCTGCTGAAGCCTGTCTCACCTCCCAGTGAGAAGCAACTCAGGAAAGTGCCTCCCTGCCCCCAGTCCTCTGGCATGAAGAAACAGCACTGAAGAGGAAGAAAGGAAGGAAGCCCCAAGAAACAGGGTTTCCCCACTGGCTGAGGTTTGTCAGTACCACACACTCCATGAAGAATAAGGCAGCTTCCCAAGCAAGCCTCAGGCTGGTATAAAGCTACAAACAAGAGACCTGCTCTTTGTCCCGCTCAGCAGCCCACCTGGGCTGGCCTGGACAACCCTGTTTGTGTACCCAGGTCTCCAGCTGATCCATGATCCTTGGCAGAGTAGGAAAAGGGAATGAAGCTGGAAGGTATAGAATTTGTTTGATGCATTGTCTGCATAATTCCTTTCCTGTTGTGATGTGCAAATCTTTATTTGCATTATGTGAGAAAAAAGCCAGTAAAAAAATCATCAGAAATGTTTGCTACCAGCCTAACCCCACCGCCAATGCGTGGCTCCCAAAAAAGCTAATTAGGCCCCATTGCTATTAGAGTTATGTGCTTCCAAAGGCTTGTTATGACAAGAAAAAATAACAAAGACACATTTTATCCAAGTTGTAAGCATCCAAGTCAAAACATGCTGCTTTCCTTGCCCCTCTGCACTCCCCCAGACAGGCCTCCTGGCAAGCTTTGACTATCTCATTAATGCATGCACGTACTCATCCCTCAGCCAGTGCACACCCAACTCCTCCTCACTGCCAGGCCCAGAGAAGACTGTGGGACCTGGCCTCAAGGCACTCAGTTGGTAGGAGAAAGACAGGCACACAAATAATTTCCCATAAACTATACAAAATGCTGCCTCGATCCGTATTGCAATCCTGCCCACCAGGATCCCAGTTCCCCTGGAGTTGCCTTCACCTACCTCTGTTCCATGGATGAGGAGGTGGGTGCAGGGGTGGGGAACAGGCCCAGGTGGAAAGTCATGCCTGTATGTCATCTCCTAACCAGCCCCCATGCCCTACCATGGGCAACAGAGGTTCCGGACATGACTCAGACGGCGTGAGGGAATGCGCAGTTTGCTCAGCGCCTCCACAAGACTCAGTTCCACATTTCTTTGGGGAAGTTTCTTCGATGGTACCCTACCTCCTGACCCCTCTGTAGCTCTATTGCTGCAAACCCAAGCACATTACTGAGAATCACTCTTTACCACCACGGACTTTAGCCCGTGGGACATAGCCACTCTCTCCACTGAGCTTCATCTTTGTCCTGATCTGAGTGGATTGTAATAGGGCCTGTTTCCCTTGTCATCTTTACCGAGTGCCCAGGAAGCCTCCAGAAACCCCTGGAAGAGTTCCTGCCTTCCTACAAAGAGGGACAGAATGGGGCAGGGTGTCTGATGGTGAAGCAAAAGCCTTGTGGCAAGGAGAAAGGTCCATAGTCCCTTAGGCCTTGGCTAGGTTGGATGATTTCAATTCAGTTAAACTTTTTTTTTTTTTAAGATTTTTGTTTATTTATTTCAGAGAGAGAGCACAAGCAGGGGGAGCAGGAGAGGGAGAAGCAGACTCCCCACCGAGCAGGGAGCCCGATGTGGGGCTCAAGCCCCGGACGCTGGGATCATGACCTGAGCTGAAGGCAGATGCTCAACCCACTGAGCCACCCAGGCGCTCCTAATTCAGTTAAATTTCAATGTCAGTTAAATTTGGTACTTTTGAGCCCCAGGACAAGGATGGCACCATGCGGGGCCCCCAGGGTAGAGCAGAAACCAAGAATGTTGAGCCTCCCCTACCCTCACTGGGCTTGCAGCCTCCAAGTCTGACCTGTGTCTGGCTGCTCCTCAAACCAGGCCCTGAACCTGGAGGGTGTGACTGCTGGCCCTCAGTGTAGGACCACTGTCCTTCCCTATAGCAGGGGGTGTGGCCAGAGGACTGTAAGGACTGGAATCAGACTCGGGCTTCACAGTTATCTGAGGAGAGCCCTCCCTGACTCCCCCAGTTTCTGGCCTGCGTAGCAGCAGGTATCAGGTGGGCAGCAACATCTGGGTTACCTCTGCTAGTCAGGTATTAATAACTCCTTCAGCGGGGTGGCCTGGCATGGGCATGGACAGCTGACAGTGCAGACTGAGGAATTCCTAGTAAGCCTGGATAAAGAGCATCCACCATTTGCCACCAAAAGAGCAGAAAGACCCTGTATTCAGCTGAGCCTCCCCCACCTCCCCCCATCTTTGCTTACTCCAACCAAGCCCACCCCCATCCCCTGTCTGCTCCAGGGATCTTCTCGGGGCTCAGAGTGTGACTCTTTCACTCTCCTACACCTGCCTGACCCAGGCTTCTCTGAGGAGGCTGGGGGTCCAGGAGTAAGCTGATGTGCCACCTGGGAGCCAAGGCAGGGCTTGAGGGGCACAGGGGTTGCTGAGTCAGAGGATTGGGGTCACAGTGATGGCCTCCTCCGCCTCTCATTTACATTCTAATCACTGTATGGGACACAAGAAGGCCGAGCTGCCCAACTCTTAGCCCCCACACAATTATACACTACGTGCTCCTCAAACAAGAGCAGGACCCATCCCCGTCGGCATCCTCCAAACCTAGCTCTTTGCCCAGCCCAACCAGGCCCGTTGTGCCCTGAGGGTGAGTTCATCCAGGACAAAGCTGGTCCTCCCTGAGGCACAGCCAGAGCCAAGCTGCTGCCACCTCCCAGCAGGACCTCCCCATCCCTGCCATCACCTGCCTTTCTTCACCTTTCTCTCCCAAGACCTTTTGCAACAGAGGTGCTGAGGGAAGTAGGCAGTGAAGTGAGGAGTGATCCCTGGAAAAGGAGCTGTCTACCTTAGCTCCCAGCCATTTCCGCAAGTCCCAAACTTGGGTTCTGCCCTCTATAGCCTGAGGCTGTGACACCATGAAGAAAGAAGGCAGGCAACAGGAACGGTAGCTCTGGCCCTGAGAGCCTTGGCCGGCTGCCAACTGGATGTTCCCAGCTGCCCCAGTGTGTGCCCAGGGTTGTGGAAGTAGCTTTGGGTAAGGTGTTCCCTGGGGCTTCAGGGTGCCTCTACTCCAGGGTCAATCCAGAGAAAATCAATAATCTCCGGCCCCATCCCTGTCTGCTTCTAATGCCAAGTGTCTCCCCAGGGACTAGGGGGACCCCCCCCCAACCATGAAACTGGAGGGCCCTACTTCCATTCAGGAACCTCTGAGACCCCACAGTACTTTAGGCCATGCGCTCAGGAGCTCCGAGGCCGGAGGAAGGGTAGACTCGGGGAGCACCCTTCGAGCGCTGAGCCCTACTGTGTGCAGGCGCCACACACAAAAGCTAAGGCAAGCGAGTGTGCAAAGGAAGCATCCTTTTTGGTTCCCGCCTGCGTACTTCAGAATTCGAGGTTTGCCGGCGGGGCCCCAGGAGCCGAGGCCATCCGAAAGCCTGGCCCCAGATTCGCCCCTCCTGTTCCCTGCCAGCTTCCCTTTCCTAAGGAGCAAGGCCCCAGCGAAGGACAGGCTCTGAACCCCAGCTACACTCGTCCCGGTGCCTTTGGGAGCTGGGCAGCGGTGGCGGAGCGAAAAAGGACCGGCCCGGCGGCGCCCCCAGTCCAGCTGCTTCCCCTGCGGCCTTGGCCCTGCGTACAGCTCGGCTCAGCCCTGCCCTCCTGCAGGCCTCAGTCCCCTCGGGGGCCGCCTCAGCTGCGCTCTCGGCCGGGTTCCGCGCGGTGCTCCCGGGAGGCCTGAGCCCCGCCCACAGCGGGCCGCGCCCGGCTCGCCCTCTCCCCACGCCCTCCCCAGCCCACCCACCACTGCTAGGCTTACCCAGGCCTCTGGCGCCACCTCGTGGGAGCCCGCGGGCACTGTCCGCCTCTTGGGCCCGAAGAAGCTGACAATCCACTCTGCGGGGCTCACCTGGGGGCCACCAGGAAGCAACAACTAAGATTGAGAGCTACACCCATCACCGCCCTGAACCCACCTAGGGGCACCGTCCTGGCCACACGGAACCTTCCACAGGAACACGATCAGACCAGCTTCGCTCCATCCCAGCTGAGACTTCAGGGTCACCTTCACCAAAACTGGGGGCAGTAGAGCTAGTGAGGGCCCCAGAGGCCGGGTCTCATGCTGCCCTCACCACAGGCTGCTTCTGCGTGGGCCCACCCCATCCCCAGCAGATGGGAACCCCCACTTTTAAGTCTCTTGCCCTATCTTTTCTGGGTCTTTTATAGGGTCCCCCTAAGGGAAATGGTACCCAGCACCCCCCAGTGGGGTGGGAGGGGACTTCAGATAATTCTTTGCTGCTCTACAGTATGAACAAAATCTTACAATCGGGAAAAGAAACCTAAAGTGTTTAGAATCGAACCTGCCTTGCACTAGCCACAGGACCTGGATGCTCTTCCTCTCTGGGCCTCAATCACCTTGCCTCAAAATGGTGATCAAAAAGGTAAGCAAAGCAGGAAAAGAGTTAAGTCATTAGCCAATTGGTATTTTAAAAAATATTTATTTATCTGAGAGAGCGAGCGAGAGCACGAGCAGGGAGAGAGGCAGAGGGAGAAGGAGAATCAGACTCCCCTCTGAGCAGGGAGCCGGACACAGGACTTGATCCCAGGACCCTGATATCATGACCTGAGCCCAAAGCAGATGCTTAACCGACTGAGCCGCCCAGGCGCCCCAACTGATATTTTTTTAAAGATTTTATCTATTTGAGAGAGAGAGAGAGAGAGAGGTGGGACAGAGGGAGAGAGAGAATCTCAAGCAGACTCCGCACCGAGCGTGGAGCCTGACGTGGGGCTCCATCTTATGACCCAGAGATCATAACCTGAGCTAAAACCAAGAGTTGGAAGCTCAGCTGACTGAGCCACCCAGGCACCCCAGCCCACGGGTATTTTTAAGATACAGTAATCTTTAGAAAGGAGTGAAGCTCACCCTCAAAAGGGTGACACTGGAGTGGGGCCTTCCATGCTTTAGAGGGGCTAGGAAAGGGCCTCTCCCAGGAGCTTGTTCAGCCTGGGAACAAGCGGAGGCCAGGCTGCGGGCTGCAGTAGGATGAGTCATGTGGAGTCTTCCCACCAAACTAGTGGTATTCTAGAGGAGCTCCTAGACATCCCAGTATTTCCTAGCCAACAGCTTTGGTCCAGGCCTAGCCCAAGGATCTTGACCCAATGAAGTGCTTCTACACCAGGAGAGAATGCAGATTCTTCCAGCCTCACTCTGATTCTGTCCCTTTTACAGGCAGATGTGTCTGGAGTGGCTCTATCCCAATTATCAGGGTGTCTTAGAACCCCTTGGGAGACCAGTCCTGTCCCCACCTTACAGACAAGGAAGCCAGGCCAGAGGGATCCCAGGAACTTGCCCTGGGCCAGAGGTACAAGGGAAGGCAGATTCCCGTGGGTCTGTCCCCTCCTCAACCGTGTCCCTTCCTTCCTGCTCCTTTCCTCCATCACCCTCTCTCCAGCTCAGACCTGAGTACAGTCCCACTCCTACCAAGAAGTTAACATACTTTGCAGGAGTGCTGGGGAGAGGGGTCTGCCGGTCCAAACATCAGATATTCCCAAAGAAGAGCAGGGCAACGCAGGGGCCAGAGGCCCTTGTGGCTTCTCTTCTTTCTGGCCCTGCTGACCTCACTATTCTCTGCCGAAGCCAGGAATCCTTTTAATGAGTCCACTTGGTGGTTTCGGGTTAAACATTAAGCAGAACTTCCTGAGGCCAACAGAGCAAGCAAGGGCAGGGCGATTTCCTGGGCCCCTGCTGCTAGGCCTAGGGGCTGAAGCCCATGTCCCTGAACTGGGGACAGCCTTTCCTGGCGCTTACCCAGTGTGGTATTCCACAAGTACTTGTTGGAACTCAGCTCCACCTACAATAGGAGATAGGTCTCAGCTCTGGGTCTTAAAGATGATGAGCAGAGAAGCAGCCTGGGGGCTACAGGTGGAGATGGTGAGGACCCTGTGGGGGTGGGAGCAAGCCCAGAAGAGGTATCAGTTGTTCTGTGACCAATGGCTCCTGATCCTGCCACTGGA